TCCGGCAATCAGCCATGTTAATTCGCTGGGGTCGGTAAGATTGAAACTTCGTGCTATATCTCGGATGATAATGAGTGCTTGGCCGAGGCCGGCTTGCGTGGTGATCTGTGCTGTGCATATAATGCCCACGAAGAGAATCTCACGCGGTAGAGAAAGCGACTCCGCAATGTGTCTGCTGCTTTGGCGTGATATACCGTCGCCGATAGTGATCTCTTTTTCAAGAGGGTCCTGTAAAGTCTCTGCATCTCGTGCTTCCAGATCAAGCGACGAACGCTGGAGGGTATATTGCGAAACGTCGGCAGTCATCCTTTCAGTACATGTAAGCTTCGAACAAGAAAAGGTACTGGTCGTCCTCCAAATGTTTCATGATTCTGCACAGCAGATTCGTCATTTATATGTGAGGATGATATAGCCGTGGGGCTCATTTCCGAGCCATCGTCACGGCGCATCGTATCCTGTGTCGGGGATAATGATCGTGCTCTCAATGCAGGGTCTGAGAACTCGGACTGTACAAATAGTTTTACCTCTGAGAACTGTGGAGATGCCTCCGGGCATGCATCCAGGTTGAAGATAGGTCAGACCAAGTTATGGAGGCTTCTTGCTCCAGCATTCAGCCTAGAACCTCTGTCAGACCCTCCGATTTTACTGGCAGGGCGGCCTAGCAACGAGATTGTGGAGCGAGGATCTCACACACCAGCCTCGCATGGAGATACTTTCAATTGCATCCGAGTGGAACTGGAGTCTCGATAAGGAAATATCCTTGCATCTTGCGGAGGCCCGGAGCGTCACGAGCCTCCGGTATCTGGGGGCCTGGACAGGAATGGGATTATTCAGCGAACGGTCATGTTCCGCAATCTTGGTGACAAGGACCCCTTTCTATTGTTCAGATACTCGGTACAAGTTTGCGCCTGTCTGCTCAATTCATTGGGGACTTGAGACTCTCAACATGACCCTGTAACAACCTCGTCATATCTAGCAGAGTTTCTGTCCTCGAGAGGCTCCGAAGCATATGCACTAGGACAGTGGGAATGCTACATACCTAGAGTATTTTGTTCACCTGTCCAGTGATTGCTCCTGTCCAACCTTTGACACATTCTAGTCCTATTGGATCAAACTCCTCGGCCTGTTGATGGTTCCTGCAACCCTTTTGATCCCCCTTCGTAAATTTTGGGCGCTAACTGACGTTGATATCTGGGATGCGTATCGAGACGACGCACAATGACTGAGTTACCTACTTTGATGTCCATTCATGCTGGTCATAGTGTTCCAGATTTAGCCTGCTTCTGTAAATTTTTGTTTCTTTGGCTATCAACAATGTCTTGATCCACATCCAGTACGACTACGGCCGTATAGGACGGTCGTCACGGCCTTCCGTCACGGCCTTGTGGGTAGCTGAAGGGCGCATAGGAGCAACATCCATCTCGAAAGGCAGGGCGTTATCTGCAATTCTGACCATGATTCGGATTCGGGCTTGGGACAGCTGATGTTCATCTGCTCCAGTGCACGTTCTCATGTTGGCCAATGGTTGGCAATGCCGAAACATACAAAATGACTCGAGTTCTCAGTACCAGCCGAAAACTGTCATCAGAGCAGCCAGTTTGATGTGGTGCTGTCCATGCCGGAATGATTCCACCGGGATGCGAGGCCTCAAGAAGGTAGGAAAGAGGATAAAGCAGAGTGCTGCTGTCTTGTTGACTCTGGGCCAATACAGCCACCAATGCCAGCCCACATATGACTGCGACCTCTGAATTGCTGCATGCTGCTTTTCTCTTCGAGTGGCACGTGATTCTTCTGCCAAATTCGAGGCGAGGGTGCTCTTCACTAGTCGCTAAGTCTTGAACTGCCTACTCGGGGAAATGATACGACTCTTTATCAATGGGGCATAGCATGGAATTGAAGCGAAACAAAGTTCAAACAGTTTGTGGTCAAATGAGAACTGACCGCTTCAGCCTCGCAGAAGCACAATGACGTCACACATCCATTGCACGCGTCGTGACTTCTGAAATCCTACAAAGGAGGCTGACGAGCTGAATTCTTCCCAACATTGTCCTTTGCTTGGAGTGTCCCTTGGTCTCTTACAGCATTTGCAGAAGAATACCTCTCATGATGTGCAGATAACAAAAAGGGGTTTGTCAGGGAGATGGTGTGTGATGTTCCCGGATCTCGAGGGAGACACTGCTAACAAAGCCAGGCTTCACTTCTCCGCCAGATAGTTGCAGGCCCCCGTGCTAGACATCCAGAAGCAGGCCTCGACCTGTGTTACGTGACCGACTACAGTACGTTGCAAATTGGACTTGTAAAAGAGGGGATTTTTTTGCTTATGCCCATCAGTTGTCGTCACTTCAGGACCCAGCTCTGTATGGCCTAGAAAAGCCTACCGAAACCCCCTAGACCAGCTGGTCGCCTTCCTCGACCGGAAACATGGCGAGGATTGGGCTATTTTCGAGTTTCGAGCCGAAGGCACAGGATATCCTGATTCCGAGGTCTACAACCGAATCCACCACTTCCCATTCCCAGACCACCACCCTCCTCCCTTCGCCATCATTCCGAACGTCATGGCTGCAATGCGCAATTGGATCCAGCGAGTAGAAGAAGACGCGGACACAAACAGGGATAAGGACAAGAAGAGAGTTGCTGTGATACACTGCAAAGCGGGCAAAGGCAGAAGCGGGACGGTCGCGTGCTCATATCTGATCAGCGAGGAAGGGTGGAAGAAAGAGGAAGCGCTCCAGCGGTTCACCATCAGACGTATGCGGCCTGGGTTTGGCGTTGGCGTCAGCATCCCGAGTCAGTTGCGTTGGGTTGGTTACGTGGATCGGTGGGCAAACACTCTCGGCAAACGATACGTCGAAAGACCTGTGGAGGTTGTCGAGATCCATATCGAGGGCCTTAGAGACGGAGTCAAAGCTTCAATAGAGGGCTACGTGGATGATGGCCGTCGCATTCGAACGTTTCATACCTTCAGTCGGCAAGAGAAGACTGTGGTGGAGGAGACCAACGCCAAACAATCGAAACCTGTTTCGGAGGCGAAAAAAGACAGCGAAATCCTTAGCACACCGCAGAACGCGTCTCCACAATCATCTTCGTTGAGCCTGAGCAAAAACTCTTCGGGTTCAACTCAAAACGTCATCCTGAAACCATCTTCGCCAGTGATTCTACCAACCAGCGACATCAATGTCGACTTTGAACGACGAAACAAAGCAGGGTACACGGGACTTACCATGGTTACGGCCATTGCACATGTCTGGTTCAACGCATACTTTGAAGGAGGCCACGAAGGGCACAATTCAGGTGTCTTTGAGATTGACTGGGAGGCGATGGACGGTATCAAAGGGAGTTCCAGAAAGGGTACCAGAGCCCTCGACAGATTGAAAGTCGTTTGGCAGTACGCTAAGCAAGAGGGAGATGGTGCTCCTGTCGAGCGCATTATTACAGAACCCCAAAAGGGCGAACCAGTTCCTGAAAGCCAACCAGCAAATTGGCAGGGTGAAAACGACGAAGAGGTGCAACCAGCCGATGGCGTCGATAGCGGCCGAAAGGGAGGTGCTCCCCTCACCATGAGTGCTATGGTCAGTCAAGGAGCGAGTACCTTGGGCAAAGAACTTGGCCTCAGAAAGTCCCGTGCCGACAGTGCGGATGTAAGTCGTGCGTCAAGTGTCAAGGGCGGATGCACAACTTCGGACATGGGCACCGCTGCGCAACGAGTCGAGGATTCAGAAGAACAAGGTGTGAAACAATCTGGTCCACAAGGCGAAGCCCTTTCATACGACGGCACGTCGGACCCGGAGGGTGGAAGCAGACAAGACACGAAAACCGGTCACGTAATGGAGGCCGGGTTGGCCAAAGTTGCTCACGTGGTCTCAAAGATGAAGCCGTCAGGGGACAAGGCTGCGAAAAAGGGAGATGAAGTCGCCGACCTCCAGGCGGACAAGGGGGATTCATTATGATTTTACGATATAAAGGCATTGATACCCTTTGCAAAGCGGGTCAACATTGCATGGTGTTTGACATGTACAGTGGATAGAATCAGTTGTGTTTGTTTCGTCCTTGGATTGTTATGGCGCCTACTTTGCAAATGATCAACAGCGTCGTTCGAAGCGTCTTCATGCAAAAGCGCGGTTTGTCGATTTGTTTAACGACGAACCGCACAAATATGCAGACGGACTACTAGAGTGTCCGCTTGCTCTCGCAGACCTGGTATCTTTGTTCCCTGCATCAAACTCTCGCAAGCTCCCGCGCCTGTCCTGTCCATACGACTCTGAATATTCAGAACATTCTCAAGCGAGAAACAGCATCCATCATGGAGAAGAATACCCCAGCCAGGACACCAACAGGGCCCTCCAGTCCCACGGATTCCGACCACACGAGCCAGCCAGATTCATCCACTCCGCCTCCACCACCGTACGTGCAACCGATCCCCATCCCTCCCCGCCCTTTAGCGGCGACCGAATACCCATGGACAGCGAGCTTGCCGTTTCGGGGCTGTCCACAACCCTCCACGATGTCGATGTACATCCCACTCGTGAAGCATGTGGCAAGGGAGGAGAAGGATGAAAAGGATGATGAGATTGAGAGCGAGGAGGCCGCCGCCGCCGCCATCAAGCCACAGCGCGAGGACGTGCCGGATGTTATTCAGAGGGGCTTCCATCCCAGCTTTGTGCACAGACCACCGACGCCGAAGCCCGTGTACGCGGATTTTGGCGGGCGCTGGGTTTGTAAGGACGAGAATGACGATAGTTCCGGCGATGAGAGGGAGGGGGACTCTGGGGGAAATTGAGAAGTGGAGGGGATGGGAGGGGAGTGCTGGAGTAATGGCTGTGAGAAAAGAATCGACTGGCTTTGGGGTGTGGTAATGCGTTATCGACAGTGGCAGTGGCGATGGTGGAAGATTCATAGTTGAATAGTGATGGACACATCTTGTGCACGACTCCCTCTCCAAATGCAAACCGGGGAATGAGACTAGGTTGACAAGTCTCAATGAAAAGCGGAAACCGCCCCATCTAGCCCTTCCTCTCAACCAACTGCTGGGAATTTTCGCATGGTTCATGTTTAATTTGTCCGTGTCCGTGGAAGCTCCCTCGCCTGATCACCGCCCTCCGCCTCCTCTTGCGCACCCTGCGAACGCCCGTCTCAACGGAGAGGGTGTCGTCGGCGGATATGGGAACGTTGCCCAGAACCCGAGGGGTCTCTTTTGCTTGGAACAGGCCCAGCAAGCCCGCAGGGCGTTTCCAGATGCCGACCCCGTCCAGCATGTCCGGGTCGGCGTTGTGCAGGTTCAGCAGCACGGAGCACTTGCTGTTGTGGACGAAGCCGTGGAGACAGAGCGGCTGGAGAGCGTCGGCGAAGGCCAGGGGTTCCTCGATGTGCAGTTGGCGGTATGTGGGCATCAGGAGATGGAAGACCGGGTCCTTGCCCCATTCCCCGGATCGGGCGAAGAGGGCACGTAGATATCGCATCCAGATGCACAGCGTGTCGAGGTTCTCGGCCATGCCGAAGAAGTTGTTGGCCGTCGGCTTCTTCTCCACCAACCGGCAGAAATAGGGGTGCCAGTCCGTGTCCGGGTGGTAGACGAAGTAGAGGTGCTTCTTGCCGGATTTGGCGGTGCTCTTGGTCATCATGTCGATGTAGCCGTGGACGTGGACGGCGAACTTTTCAGGGGCGTCCAACCGCGTCTGCGCCTCAAGCTCTCGTCGTATCCCTCGGAGCTCGGCGATGATTTGCTGTCCCTGGAAGACCTGGATGATCTGGGCGGGCGCGCCTGCGGCGATGAAAAATCCCTGAAACCCGGCCAGGTATTTCGCATGGGATGCCAGGATTTTCACGGCCGGCATGGCCTTTTGCACGGCGTTTGCTATCTTTTCGGCCTTGTTGACTAGCCCTGGGATCTGGTTGAGGGATTTACTGACTGCGTCCAGAGTGCTGATCATGGTTTCTTCCACCCGCCGGGACTGGTTTGACGGCTCTGGCAGACTGGAGTTCTGGCCCATGTTGAGAGTACAGAGCACAAATAGCTCCGGTTTGCACAGCGTTCTCAGAAGATATGGGGACGTTTGAGGTGCTGTCGCGGTGCAAAGTGTGAGACCTCCTCTATATCGTCGGGATTATGAAGGCAGTGTCGCTGGGATGTACGTGTCGTTTAGTGGTCATTCAGCATATCGATTAGCGTTTCGTACAGCAATAGACATGCAGCCTGTGCGATGGAGGGCAGACTGGAGTTGATCGCGAGTTACCGGGGTTCTGGGTAGGAAGTCAGTAAGTTGAATATGACAATATGAGAAGTGTTCTCTCAAGTGACGACTAGATAGAGCCAGTAGGAGCACACATTGAAACGTGGCGCGCGTGTTTGTAGGGCAAGTGGATGCTGTCACCTCTCGTGTGCCTAATTCATTGAACACAGCCCTCCAGCATCTGCTTTTCTCTGACTTGGTTTTGATAGGCGCTTTGGAAGTCATTCGCCCGCGACTGGCGATCATGTAATTGGTGCTTTGAACTGCCCGCGCATCTTGGAGCTTGTAGCCCTGCCAGTTGACGTGGCAGGCTCCCATCTGGTGTGGCTGCGGTCCTCGTCTGGAATGAAGCCTGCGCCCTGACAAGCATCGTTGTCAAATGAGGCGGCCATACTCCATCATTACCTCTACCAATCACCCTACCTTCGTTCAAATCGAGACTCTTAGGCCAAAGAAGACGATGGTACGGATGCCTCAAGTGTTGCGATTTCGCTGGAACTAAGTAGTGTTGTACGATATCAAGTCATGATAGATCCAGGGCAAAAGTAGGCAGGGAAAGACCGTTGACCGCTTGAATCACGTGCAAGCATTGTTCTCAGCTGCGCTTTTGATGCTGTATACCACCCATTGACATCCGTCTCAATTTCAAAACAAAGACCTTTGCTAAGGCCAAACGATGGTCCGTTCCGCTGTCGTAATTCCCCTTCCCCGGCAAGTAAAGATATCTCCGGGCGACTAGCCATGCTTGAAACATGCTTATCAACAACTAAAGGAGTCGCTAGTCACACTAGTCAATAAGGCGTCCCGCTGGCTGTTGCACAGACACATTATCACAATGAACAGCGCGACGTTCTTCTGGCGACAAGCCAACCTCCAACTTGAGCGGCAATTGAATAGAGTCACAAAAAATGCGAGTCGATGACATTTCACAAGCCATATTCATGTGTATATCAGCCCAGCCTTGTGAGCGCCGCTGAAGCTCGAGGCTGGCTACAAACAGCAAAGGCGTTGACCGCTCGAGGACCCAGCATCCGGAAGAACTGACAGATAATGGCTGAAATCATGGAGGACTCCTCTGGCATACCCAGATCCCAACAGAATGAGCAGCCCGAAGGCTCCAACACTGCTGCTGCTGCTGCTGCTGCTCCCGCCACTGTGCGCTTTGCCCCGTCCAACGAGGAGCCGGATGAACCAGGGTCCCTCAGTGAACCGCCTCTGATTCAGGACCTCAAGGGTACATCCGAGTACCTTGGCAGCACATTGAGTCCGCAAACATCCAAGTCATCCAGATCGATCAAGCTGGAGCCGCCACCGGTGGTGATGAGGCCGCCCAAGGTCAAGTATGAGGGTTTCAGCTCCACGGCGCTGTCGTGGTTCGCATGGAACCGCAACGAGGAGAAAGACCTGCCCGACTGCGCGAGATCCATGCGCCGCTCCTACTCTTACCGATCCACGTTCCGCCTTTTCGGGTTCAGCTTGACCAGTGCTGTCAGCTACAAGACATCGGCGACCGGTATTGATGCCGCTATGCACAATGTTCGTGTGGTGAGTATCTGGAACCCCCCCACCTCCGTGGATAACTCTCGCAGTGTATGTTGGGATTGCTGACGTATGAACCTGGTTCCATGGCATTTAGGGATGGGGAAAGTCGGAAACGAGCTGGGTCCGCGACAGACTGCCCCAGGCGCGGCAGCGATTCGGGCTCTCTGGGAACAGGCAGCCAGAATCGCCTGACGAAGAGGCGCAGGACGCGGCGGACCAAGAAGACCGCAGCAGCACCACGGCGGCGGTCGAAGGGCAAAATCCCAAGCGAGAACCCAGACAGACGATCCCGCGCATCGCGCACCCGTGGCACCTCGACTACTACTACATCGTCGTGGGCATCATGGGCGACGAGATCGCGCCCAAGGAGACCCTCCGGAGAGTGATGGAGATCGACGGGCTGTTCCAGCAGATCCGCAAGGCGCACAGATACCTGCGGAATCCCATCCGGAGGGCTCTGTCCTTGAAAGAAGTCTCGGGCTTCGGCATCTACCAGTGCGACCCGCGTAAGGGCTATCACCGCGAGGCGGAACTGGATAGCGAGACTGAGAGCGCGCTGGCCGAACTCTGGCGCAACTACAACACCCACAAGCTCGACTACGAGGGCCGCTGGCTGCTCTGGATCCACCAGCACTTCAACAACGGCTCCAAGAACCCGGAGCTGGGCACGCTGACCCTCGAGCTGCGCCTGCGCTGGTCCGTCGTCAAAGTCGTCTTCTGGGGCGTCGTGCCCATCCTGCTGAGCCTGGCCATCGGCTTCTCGTACATGTACTCGGACCACGGCGAGGTCGACGACGTCGCGGTCGCAGAGGCCGCGTGGGTCATTGCCACGTATATAATCACAACGTCGGCCTGTAAGTTATTCCTCTCCCAGCAGACACCTTGTCTTGGAAAAGGAGAGCGAAAAAGACTGATCGTTGAATAAACAGTGATCTTTGCACTTTTGGCCGTCATCACTCAGCTGGGGAATATTTGAACGGTCACGACCGGCCGCCTAGTGGCAAACTATATACATTCGACTGCCATTGCCATTCTCTCACAAGTTGTAGTAACCACAGCGTGGATAGCTGGAGGACCACAGATAGGGAGGGGGATTATTTTTGATTATCCTTTACTGGAGAAGGGATAAGAGTGTTTTAAAATGGGTGGGATCAGCACTTTTGCGTAGCTGAGGTCTTGGTGACCCAGTGTCCCCACAGCCACTATGCTTAGCATCCACCGAAAGCGAAGCAATCCAATCAGGCCGATCACGCGGCTACAGTAGACGTACCTATTCGTACTCGTACCCGTCCTGAAGATCAGGGGCAACCCCAGACAACGTGGAGCAAGCGTGGCATCGTGGGCAAGACGAGGAGAAAGCAAATCCAGAAGCTCAGAACATTACTAATGAGGCCGGACATGGAAACAAAACACCGTAGGATCAGAACATGTCTGGTGAACCTGGAAAGAAAAAAAAAAATTGCGTATTCATGGTACACTTGTAGCCGAACAAGGGAATTTTCTTTTTTTGCTTCTTCATCAACCAGAGTATCGAGATCGTCTCTCTCTGGCCTCAAAACGACCCATCAAGGAAGACTTGAGGTATATATGTGTGTGTTTGTGTGTGTGTCTCTCTCTCTCTCTCTGTGTGTGTGTGTGTGCGTGTGTCACTCTCTAGGACCTCCTCCACCGAAGCCAGCCGCTCAAATCGACTAGCGGGAGAGTGATGGGGAACTCGACCGCGGCCAGCAGCAGCGCCAGCAGCAGATACCAGCCGGCGATGCAGCTGACGCCCAAGCTCGCGCCGGCGATGTACAGGGTGGTGCCGGCGCCGGCGCCGCCGTCGGCGAGCAGCCAGAATGTCGTGGTCAACAGGGTGAAACCCCAGAAGAGGCCGGCGAAGATGACGACGAAGACCAGGTTCGTGCGCAGCGCGCAGACCAGGTAGATCAGGCACAGCACGGCCATGAAGATCATGAAGAAGCCGAACGAGGCGTTGAAGCCCTTGCTCGCCAGCCCCGCCGTGAGGTCCTCCGGGTCGGGCGAGTAGGCGCCAAAGGCATTGAAGAAGGGGAGGAGCGTCGCGCCGTACGAGAACCAGAAGCCGCCGAACGAGGCGAAGACGACGAACGGGAACGTGTTGCCGGCGACCCATTCGAGGAAGCCGCCCAGAAGCATCAGCACGCCGCCGATGAAGAAGTAGGCTCCGCTGTACCGGAAATCTGTCAGACTCTTTGTCCCTTTGTTCTTGTCTCGGTTGTAGTGGAAAGAGGGGAGGGAATTGGGGGGGAATGGGAAAGGGAAAGGGAAAGAGAAAGAAAGCGGGGAGTGATAGGTATATACTTACACCGACGCGGCTCCATTGCCACCTGCCCCTCGCCAGCCCATCAAGTCACAGCTCAGAGGGCTCAGACAGAGCAAAAACCCAACAATGGACAGAGGAGTCGGATTGGCGAACGTCTGCTTCGCGCTTCTCCCGCCTGTCGCCGGGTCCTGGTTCTGGACCTGCAAGAACATCCGGTCAAACATGTCGGCGGGGATCGACACCATGGTCGCATCGTTGAACGACGGAGGAGGTGCCTGTTGTTGCGGCTGCGACGTCGGAGGGTGGATGTATTTGGTCTTCTCGTCCATGTAGAACGGCGCCTCGAAGGACTGCGAGTACGACAGTCCCGGCGGCGTGGGTGGCCGGTAGTAGTTCGAGTGAGGGGCAGGCAGGGGGCCTTTGATCTCAAAGGGTGCAGATGCCATGTTTGCGAGGGTACGATAGAGGATGGATCAGGCTGAACTAGACACACAGTTTCAAATGGCACTCGCAAATATGTGATGGTCTCAAGGATGGGCGATGGGACGAAAACTCTTACAAACCGCCGAGAGCAGAGTCGAGTCCTTTATATCCCGCATACTTTCGACCATGAAAGAAAGCGCCAGCCCATGCAAGGCCTGTTCAAAAAGTAAGCAGCTGGAATACCATCAGCCGGCAGAGTCTGCAACATGTGGTGCTTCAGCCTCAGTGATCACCACTGTCCCAGGACCAGTAAATGGGCAGCAATGCCATGTTTGCAGGTGTTGGCAAAAAGTCTTTTATCCCCTGCGTTGGTTTGCAAGCCGCCCGAGGAGTGTTTTGGATAAGGCTTGGAAGGTCTTGGGAGCGTATGCATGGGGTTACCGAAACCTTGATATTTGTGTTGGTTCTATGAGATATTTTGGGGGGTTGAAACGATTCCGAAAGCTGGGGG